AATCCCTATATTTATTTTATACTCACCCATGCATTTTGATAGGGGGAGCTTTCGCTCTCTTAATTCTTTTGTCTCCTTTTTTATGTTGTCAAAGGGGGAGAAATATTGTGAGTATATCATTTCTTGCTTATATGCATGATATATTATCTTGTATATGTTCATTTCTTTCATGCATATATTCCTTTTTGTAAATTGTTTGTCATCATCAAAAAGGAAGAGATTGTTGGCCTTCTTGTTTTGATGATGATTTAACAAACAATTTATCACTAATGTTATTTTTCTAGTATTTGTGTTTTCTTATTTATTATAGACAAACAACGTTGTTGGAGGTTGGATGGATTGAGCCTACACGATCATATCAAGAGGAGGTTGGCGGAATTGTGGAGTGAAACATCGTACAATTCAAGTTCAAGACCCAAGTTCAAGCTTCATCCGCATGTGTACCAAGTTGAGCTACAATGAAGATCAAGATCAAGCTTGGGTAATCTAGTTTAAATTTTATATTATGTGTGTTAAGTACTCTAAGCTCAATTATCTATACACACACATTTATTGGTTTCTTCGTATATAATATGTAGTCACATATATATACAACACAAGTTTTAGTTTTCATGTTTATAAATATGAAATTACATGTTTCATATTTATTATTGTGATTTGGTTTATCTACATAGATATGAAACAAATATATTTTCATATACATACTCATAGGTTTCATTTTCTATTGTATTTGTGAAAATATTGTATTCTTAGTTTGTAGACTTTAATATCAGTTTATACATGTTTTACTAAGTCTATAAAAACATTTCACAAAGTTTCAAAAGTTGGTTTATGTCAAAACATCAAAATTCAAGTATCTCATATTTTCATGTTTTGGACTAGTTTGTAAAATGATGATATTTTTCATTTGGGAAGTCCTTTTTGATAACCAGTCATTGTAGCATGTTTATTATCATGTCTACAATCATTCCCCAAAGTTTTACATTTTTTGGAATTTATTTGATATTTTTAAACAGTGTTTTAAAATCAGCAAAACATGTTTTTCATATGTCAGATTTCGGTCGACCGCACCGGTCGACCGAACCTGAGGTCAAAAGTTCACTGGGCGACAGAAAGCTTGGGGTTTTTGGCTGAGTTGTGAGAGGGTATAAATACCCCATTGTCTTCAACTCTCAAACCAATTAAGAAATGTTTTAAAAGAAAAGAAAAGTTTAAGCAAGGGTTTAGGGTTTTACTGTTTGTTTTGAGTTTGGGTTTCTGTTTACAAAGGAGGAAGTTTTCACTGCAGATTGAGGGATTCATTCTCAATCCCCTTCATCCTCTTCTTTGTGTTCTTAGAGAAGTTTTTCTAACTCTTTTCTCTAGCAATTTCATTATTGATTTTTATATATTCTTATTATTGCTAGTTTGCTATTTGAGTTAGATTTGATTTTATCTCATTGTTACACACACCCACTTGAGCTTATTGTATTTGCATACATAGTATATTAGGGTTGTGAGAGATTGTAACATTGAGTTGTGCTTCATTGTGTTCTCATCTATTGTAGAGAACAAATTTATATTTGTTACATTGTGAGTGTTGTAAGGTTTTCGGTGAGCTAGAAAACCGAGTGTGTTGTGAAGTTTTCTTTGAACTAAAAAACCGATTGTGAGGAGTGACGCTGATCGGTGAGCGTTGAAAACCGACACTGTGAGGTGTAAACGTTATTCGGGTGAGCGTAGAAAACCCGGTTGTGATAGTGGATTTCTCCCCGGGAGTGGGGAGCGGAGACGTAGGACGGAAGGTCCGAACTCCGTGATCATATTGCTTGTTTGAGTTTGACTTAGCACTTATAATTGTTCATCTTTATAGCCTTTCTCTCATTGTTTATTTCATCCACTATTTCATTTGTTTATGTTACCCTTGTGTTTGCATATCCTTACATATATCATATTGTATATCTCTTTGATAGGATATATCATCTTGTGTTAGTTTATATATCCTTGGATATACATATTCATCATATAGGATATATCTCATTGTTCATATTGCTTATCCTAGCTTATATAGTTGTTATATTTCATATTTGCTAGGATAACTTGTTTATTAATTTTAATTGGTATTTAATCGGATTAGATTAGCATAAGACCCTAATCACCCCCTCTAGGGTCTAACAAAAGTCTTTGGAAGTTTTCTGAGATTCTGTAGTGCCTCGCGGTCGACCGCGAGAATCAATGGCTCTTTTTGTACATAATCGTATTCCTGATTTTCTAGGATTTTTGTTATTTTTTTTGGGGTTTTGGCTGTTGGTTTCTCTTCCTATATAAACCTCTCAACCCCTCTTCTATCAGTAACCCAATGGAAAGTTTTAAAGAAGTTTAAAAGAGTTTTAACAAGGGTTTTTAGTTGGGTTCAAAGTCTGTTTGGTTTGTGAAGATTGTTTTACACGTGGAGAAGATCATCTACAGTGTTTGAACTTCATCTTAATCCTCCTCTCCAACTTGATTTTCAGAGAAGAATTCCTATTTTCTAGATATTTATCGTTTTTGTTCATAATTCCTATATGCTAGATTTTAATTGAGTTTAGTTGTTTTGATTTCACTCATTGTTTACACACACCCACATGAGCTTATTGTATTTACATACATAGTATATTTGGGTTGGTGAGAGTTGTAACAATTGAGTGTGAGTTTTCATTGTGTTCTCATCCATAGTAGAGAACAAACATTTATTGCATTAAGTCTAATTATGTGGATACACTTTGTAATATACTTGTACACCGAGAGGAGTGTATGGTGAGAGTCGGGGATCGTCCCAAGAGGAGTGGCGTCGGTTGACGAACCTAGGGAGAGGTTGTAACCGAGCACTTGAGGGAGACACGGCTAGGTCCAACACTTGTGAGGGTGTAGAGTGTGTTTGCAAGAGTGTGAGTTGTAGAGTTTTTCGGTTAGCTAGAAAACCGAGTGTGTAGAAGTTTCGGCTTTCAAACCGGATTGTGATAGTGGATTTCTTCCCGGGAGTGGGGAGCGGAGACGTAGGACGGAAGGTCCGAACTCCGTGATCATATTGCTAGTTTGAGTTTGGCTTAGCACACTTATATTTGTTCATCTTTATAGCCTTTCTCTCATTGTTTATTTCATCCATTATATCATTTGTTTATGTTACTCTTGTGTTTACATATCCTTGCATATATCATATAATATACCTCTTTGCTAGGATATATCACCTTGTGTATATTGCATATTCTTACACATAACTCTTTGTATATCTATCTTGCAAGAATATATTTGTTAATTAGTTTTAATTGGTATAAAATCAGATTAGATTAGCATAAGACCCTAATCACCCCCCCCCCATTTTTCACACTCTTGGCCAAATACTTGCTTTCAAAAATCTCCCAAGTCTTCTTCGCAGAAGTCTCATTCATCACATTATATTTTAGATCTTGAGTCAAACAAGACCTAATCACACCACACGCTGTTCGATTCATCTTCTTCCAAACCTTCTCTTCAATCTCATCTAGTTTGCCATCTAACTCCAAGGTATCCTCCAAATTCTGCGCGTTCAGCGCATCCAAAACCTCGTATCTTCATAATCCAAAGTTGTTTGTGCCATTAAATTTCTCCACATCTATCTTCATAGAGTGGATATTCAAACACATGGTCTTCACGCCAGAAGCACCACCCTCGACACCCGAAGCACCTTCTTTCTCCGACATCTTTCTCAACGCACCAACGAACGAAGAATAGATCCAAAACTGAAAAGATAGTCTTTACAAAAAGATCCCACCTTTTTCACCAAACGAAGCCCTAGACGAGCCTCCAAATTGATCTACTCTTCCAAATAGCCCAAGCATAGCCCGAGCTCTGATACCACTTGTTGTGCGCAACAAAAATTTCGGCAGAGTTTCTGGTGCACAATAAGAGAGAAAGATCCTAATAAAAATTCTCATCTCACCAAGGAAACAAGAATCTGAAGCGAATATCTCAACAAAGTGAGATATCGGCTCTTCCTCTCATCAGTTCTAGGACTGACTTGTCGAGGGATCCTAAAACCTATTACAATGATCACAAACGCTCTTCCTCTCATCAGTTCTAGGACTGACTTGTCGAGGGATCCTAAAACCTATTACAATGATCACAAACACAAACAAACAAATTTTACGTGGTTTGACAAACTGCCTACGTCCACGGGGTAAGGAGTGGAAGATTTACTATTAGAGTGGAGAGAATACAACTAGGATTTACAATCACTCAATCTAAACCCTCACACAATCTCTCAAACCTCTCACACAAATACTCTCTCAAAAACACAAAAGCCTGTTTGCACGAAGCCAAAGAAAGCCGCTGACTTTTTCTTCTTTCTCCTGTGCTGCGCACCTGCTCTCTGCAGCCGCCTTTGTTTTTCTCCTTCAATTCCTACACTCACTTGCACGCGTCCCTAGGTCACCCTAGAAGAGATATATATAGTGCATATCACAAATTGGGTGGGCTCTTCTTTGTATCCGCTGGACCAACCAATGAAAGAACAACTTTTATCTCTTCACACGGAAGAGCTTCTCACGCAACATGCTGGCCTATCACTTCATGTGAAGGTGGACCCCATACGGTTTCACAGTATAAGGGGTTAAGAGTTTGGATCGATGAGTGATTTATTTGTAGTTCTATTTCATTCTGTCAAAGAAATAAAGAATAGATAGCTATCACTCATGGATGTAGATGGTTTTGCCGAACCACATAAATTTCTTGTGTCGACTCGCATCTATCTTGTTATTCTTCTTTTTCACTAAATTGAGTTTTGCGCCAAATTGATTTCACAATAATTTTCGCGACGAATCTAGAAGTAGGAGCTTGCAGTCTTGCGGACTCAATCTCAGTAGGGAGAGTGCTTATTCCCAACAGAACATTGTCACCTTCCACACTAAATAACTACAAGAATCTATATATCCATGGAATGCTTTTGATGCTCAATAGCGGGCCCCATCTGTAGCCTGGGATATATCTCAACTATTTCTGCACTCCATAGATAATGTTGAGAATATACAGATTTTTGTTAGGGTTGAGAAGCAAAGACAAAGAACCAAACCCATGTTGACAAGAACAGACAACGGACAAGCTCATCATTCTTATCTACTATTTGCATACTTCTGAATGCTTATCTGTATAATAGTGAATACAATGATCAATTATTCACTGGCATTTACAACTTCAATAACTACTTAAGCCTTACAAGAGTTCCGAAGAGAAGAAGTCCTATTGAAGACCCTGGTGTATATATCTCCTCCTCAACTTCCATCTGGTCATCTCTTAAAAGGTACAAATTATCCTTATTTATCTTGTTGATATTATTTTTAATTAAAGTATATACACCCCTCAAATCATGTATATTTATAAATCTATCCTAAAATCTTAGTATTTGCAAAACTACTCCCAACTCGTTAATGTTAAAAAACATTATCAGATGAAAAAATGTTAACTTTGTTAGATATGTTGAGTAAAAATCTAACTAACAAATTAGCCCAAAAAAGTTTGATGGCTTGGGGTACCTTGGGGTACCTTGTTTCCAAACGTTGACGATTTCGAATATAGTTTTGGAAAATACTAGGATTTGGAGAGTAGTTTTGCAAACATGCATAATTTAAGGGTGTGTGTTTTTATGGGAATAATGGTTATGAGGTGGCACATCATTTAGATAGAGAGGAGAGGTCCACACTTTTTAATGTAACTAGTAATGTGGGTCTCATTACATGATTTGATAGTTTATTTAGCAAAATGAACTGTCACGTCATACCATATATATATATAGAGAGAGAGAAAGAGAAAAATGGAGAAACTTGGTACCAAGTTGCTCCAATCAACTTGGTAGTGATGTGGTCTAATCTTGTCCCTACATCTACATTGGAGTTGGTGAAGGGTGGTTGAGGCTCTATCTTCGAGGTGCGATGTAAGGGTAAGATTAGGCCACATCACTACCAATTTGTTTCAAATAACTTGGTACCAAGGTTCTCAATTTCTTCCCTATAGGGAGAAATGGAGAACCTTGGTACCAAGTTATTTGAAACAACTTGGTAGTGATGTGGCCTAATCTTACCCCTATATATATATGGATTATTGATGTATTATATATGTTTCAATGTTATATCCCTCATGTCTCATCATATATTTTCTAATTGCAGAGAGCAAGAAATGGTTATGGTGATGCCATGGAGCATGGCTTTGTACATAATTAAGGTCGTGTGCAAGGGACTCAATGGATGGATCTCTTTTACATGGATGGTGGCTGATCACATAGCTCATGGTCTCAGGACTGGGGTTATGACGTCTATAGCTCTGCTTCCTCTAATTCCATAGCGCTTTGGTTTCGTATCATATTCTTTAAGTGAGGTTCTTTTTTTTTAATTTAAATTTGAACTTCCATTGTCATTTCTTTAATTTGGTTGGTCGAGTAGAATTTGGCTTGATCCTTGAGGTATAACTTGTATATATATTTCCAAGGCTTTTAAGATACGTTAGAATGTAACTTTTCTTATGTGGCCAATACGGCAATGTTGCGCGCAGCGAAAATTTCGGCAGCACTTCGGCAGCACAACAAGAGAGTCAGGTCGCAATAAGATTCTTGTTTCTCAAAGGGAACAAGAATCTGAAGCCTAATATCTCATCAAAGTGAGATATTAGCTCTTCCTCTCGTCAGCTCTAGGACTGCGCGTCGAGGGAACCTAAAAAGCTATTACAAATCACCCAAATAGCAGTACAACCAATTTTACGTGGTTCGGCAAATTGCCTACGTCCACGGGGCAAGGAGGGGGGAGATCCACTAATAGAGGGAGAGAATACAACTAGGGTTTACATTCACTCACAATCTAAACCCTCAAACAAACTCTCAAATCCCTCACAAATACCTCTCAAAGAGATGCACAAAACCCTAGAAGAGACTGCTCAAAATCTCCTCAATTTCTCTCTCAAATTCTCTCAATACTTTGCCTATCTCTTTCTGCAGCCTTACCCCTGTAGCCGCACACCTGTAGCCACAAAGTTATTCCCCTCTGCCTCCTGACACACAAAAAAAAAAACTTGGAACTGAGATATATATATAGACAGCGATTAACAAAAGCGGGTGGGCCTTGGGTCCGCGGGTCCGCGTTCACGTCCGCGTTCATAATTCTCCACCTCGGTGAAGTTTTCCCAAAACTGAGCCGACACCAAAGCATCTAAATGTCCCACTTGTTGTGTCCAGTACGAACTCAATCCACAACAAGTCGAGAACCCAAACGAGAGTCCAAAATAATCTCACCCCCATCAAAATCAACTAATCCAAACCGGCTGCATCAAACATGACTGCCTACGTATCCTCTTGCCCAAGGAATCAAGCCGAACATAGTTCACCCAAATGGCCGCCAACGGCCTCAACAATCACGAATATGCAACAAGTTTCGACAATGATCAAACTTGTTGCTCGGAACCACCTTAGTGAGCATATCCGCCGGATTATCCTTCGTGTGGACTTTCACAATTTCCACATCGCCATCTTCAAGAACATCTCGAACGAAGTGATAACGAACGTCAATGTGCTTCGTCCTCGCATGAAAAACCTGATTCTTCGCCAAATAGATAGCACTCATGCTATCACAATGAATAGTGACGGATCGCTGCGATATACCAAGTTCTTCCAGAAGTCCTCGAAGCCAAATAGCCTCCTTCACAGCCCCCGTAACTGCCATATACTCTGCCTCCGTCGTAGACAAAGCCACCGTCGATTGTAAGGTGCATCTCCAACACACCGGCGCACGGGTCAAAGTGAACACATACCCCGTCGTAGACCAGCGCTTATCCAAATCCCCGACATAATCCGAATCAACATAGCCAATGCATAGATGTCCACCTGTAGTGTCCCGCTCATAAACTAAACCAACATTGAGCGTACCTCGAATGTACCTCAAAATCCATTTCACGGCTTCCCAATGACCCACTCCTGGATCGTGCATGTATCTCGATACCATGCTTACCGCCTGTGATAAATCTGGTCTCGTACATACCGTACACCAACTGGCTTCGTATCCATGCTAACATGGAATCGCTGTAGAACCTTCTTTAAATAAGCCACTTGTGTCAAACAAATTTTGCCCTTCTTCTTGTCTCTGCCTATCTCCATCCTTAGAATGCGCTTCGCCTCACCCAAGTCTTTCATCTCAAACTCATTTGATAGTTGAACTTTCAACTCATCTATAGCCGACCTGGAAATAGAGGCAACCAACATGTCATCGACATAGAGCAATAAATAAATGTACGCACCTCTTTTCAACTTGCGAAAATATACGCAAGGATCAAACTGGCTCCGAGTGTACGAATGACCAAGCATAAAACCATCAAATCGCCTATACCACTGTCGAGGAGACTGCTTCAAACCGTATAGCGATTTCTTCAACCTGCAAACCAATTTTTCCTTCCCTGCAGCTCGGAATCCCAATGGCTAAGTCATATATATTTCTTCATCAAGATCACCATGAAGAAATGCCGTCTTCACATCCAAGTGATCTAACTCCAAACCATAATGTGCCACCAAAGCTAGCAAAATCCGAATCGAAGAATGCTTCACCACCGGAGAGAAAACCTCATTATAATCTATTCCTTCCTCCTGTGCATAGCCCTTCGCAACCAACCTAGCCTTGAATCTCAACGGAGTGCCTTCAATGCCCTCCTTCTTCGTGTATACCCACTTGCAACCAATTGCCTTCCGCCCCTTTGAAAGCTCAACAAGCTCCCATGTATCGTTCTTATGAAGAGATTCCATCTCCTCCTGCATAGCCACCTGCTACGAATCAGCCTCCGAACTCTGCTCGGCCTCTCTGAAAGTAGTAGGTACCAACTCATCGATACTCTCCACCTCGGTCCCTGATCCTGCACATCAGTACTCATATCCCCTGTGTCACCGTCGTGCTCGCCTGGCGTCACCTCAGTCGGCACCTGCATAGATACTGTACCATCTAGACAATGTGGAGCTGCATCGATCTCCACCACCTGCGATATCTCCTCCGTCGGATCGCTCTCCACCTGATGAGAGCTGGGAAGTTTCAAGATAGAAGCTTCATCAAACATGACGTCCCTACTCAGCACAATCTTCTTATCCACTGGATCCCAAAGCTTGTATCCCTTGACACCACGCTTGAATCCTACAAATATGGCCTTCCTAGCTCGAGGTTCTAATTTATCAGTTCTAACATGATAATATGCAGGGCACCCAAATACCTTGAGCTGGTCATAGTCATGTGTTGGCTTTCCCGACCACATCTCCATAGGGGTTTTCCCCTCAATCGCAGATGAAGGCAGCCTATTAATGAGGTGGCTCGTATATGTAAGTGCCTCAGCCCAAAAGATCTTCTCCAAATCACTCTGCGACAATAAGCATCGGATCTTCTCCAGTAAAGACCGATTCAACCTCTCGGCCACTCCATTTTGCTGCGGTGTATGACTAACTGTGAAGTGTCTCTCTATGCCCTCATCTCGACATAGCTGCTGAAAGGGGTCAGAAGTATACTCACCACCGTTATCGGATTGCAACGTCTTGATCTTTCTCCCAGTCTGCGGTTCCAATCTCTTCTTCCACTCCACAAACAAATCTAGGACTTCACTCTTCTTCGTCATGGTGTACACCCAACATCGCCTAGAATAGTCATCTATAAAAGTGACGAACCAATGTCTACCACCAAGTGATGTAGTCTTGGTAGGACCCCAAACGTCTGTGTGCACGTAGTCCAGAATGCCCCTCGTCTGATGAATGGTAGTCCCGAACTTCACCTTTGTCTTCTTGCCAAGTATACAGTGCTCACAGAATTCAATCTTCCCACTCTTGGCTCCCTTCAATAGCCCCTGCTTGCACAATGCCTGCAGTGACTTTTCACCTGTGTGCCCCAATCTATAGTGCCAAAGTCTGCTCATGTCCGCTTCTGAAATAGCCGAAGCAACCTGGCCAATCTCGGTACTTCCCTTCAGATAATACAAATTTCGATTGCGGACTCCCCTCATCACCACTAATGATCCCTTAGTAACCTTCGCTACAGCGTTTTCGAAAGTCACCTTGAATCCCTTCGCCTCCAAAACTCTAACTGAGATAAGATTTTTCTTCAGTTGAGGAACAAATCTCACCTCCTTCAACTCACGGACTACTCCATCGTGCATCCTAATCCGTACGATACCTATCCCACAAACACCACGGGATTGATCATTTCCCATGACAACAACGCCCCCGTCGACTTTCTCAAAAGATGCAAACCAGACTCGCCTAGGGGTCACATGAAAAGTAGAGCCGGAATCAATCATCCAATCTGATGCATCCACATGATTCACCTCCGGAGTAATCAGTAGAGAAAAGCACATCTGATGCATCCACATGATTCACCTCCGGAGTAATCAGTAGAGAAAAGCACGAATCATCGGAATCATTGTCTTTCGCAATATTCACCTCATTGGCCCGGAGTAATCAGTAGAGAAAAGCACGAATCATCGGAATCATTGTCTTTCGCAATATTCACCTCATTGGCCTTCGGGCCCTTTTTCTTGCCATTCTCTTTCTCCTTGAGATTCGGACAGTCTCTCTTCTAATGTCCCTGCTCCTTGTAGAATGCACATTGGTTCTTTGTTAATTGGTGGTGACCTCTAGACTTTGACCTTCCTCTATTACCACCTTTCGGATATGGGCTTCTACCTCTCGTCGACAAGGCCTCACCTGAAGTGCTAGCACGGGAAGTCTCCTTGTCCTTCCTCCTCAAATCGTAATTTGTCAAAGTGTTAGTCACTTCACTATAGCTGATAGAAGATCTCCCGTTCAACAAAGTGAGCACGAATGTATCATACTCCTCATCCGGTAAGGAGCCCAACAAAATAATCGCCTTGTACTCATCCGATATCTTCTCATCAACATTCGTCAAGTCCGACAATAACTTAGTGTAGTTGTTCACATGAGCCGCTAGCGAGGTGCCTCTGGACATCTAAAATCTGAAAAGTCTTCGTAGCAAGTGCAACCTGTTTTCAACACTCTTTGTGAGATACTTATTGTTGAGAATTTCCCACATCTTCATTGCAGACGTCACCCCAATCACATCATATTTCAGTTCCTGTTCCAAACAGGACCTGATCACCCCACAAGCGTTCCTATTCATCTTCTCCCATACCGCCTCTTCATATTTAGGTGGTCTTTCGTGGACCATAATGGTCTCTTCCAAATTCTGAGCATTAAGCGCATCCTGTACGTCGCTCATCCACAAACCAAAGTTGATTTTTCCGTCATACTTCACCACACTAATTTTAGTGTTCTGAAAACCAACTTGTATTGTACCTGCCATCGATTTGCTTCTTTCACCTTCTTCTCCCATTGCGAACTAACTCCAAATTGTAGAGAAAGAACAAATTTGATAGAATTAGGAACTAGCCAACTGAACCCTAGATCGGATTCCAAATAGATCTCCTATCCACACGAGGAAATCGAAATCTCCAACGGCAACTCCTAATGCTATCTCCACCGAAGCCTAGAACTCCAAGAATCAAGCTTCACACAAAAATCTTCCTCCACCAAAAAACCCTAGATCTGAAATCTGGGCTCTGATACCACTTGTTGCGCGCAGCGAAAATTTCGGCAGCACTTCGTTTCTCAAAGGGAACAAGAATCTGAAGCCTAATATCCCATCAAAGTGGAATATTAGCTCTTTCTCTCGTCAGCTCTAGGACTGCGCGTCGAGGGAACCTAAAAAGCTATTACAAATCACCCAAATAGCAGTACAACCAATTTTACATGGTTCGGCAAATTGTCTACGTCCACGGGGCAAGAAGGGGGGGAGATCCACTAATAGAGGGAGAGAATACAACTAGGGTTTACAATCACTCACAATCTAAACCCTCAAACAAACTCTCAAATCCCTCACAAATACCTCTCAAAGAGATGCACAAAACCCTAGAAGGGACTGCTCAAAATCTCCTTAATTTCTCTCTCAAATTCTCTCAATACTTTGCCTATCTCTTTCTGCAGCCGCACCCCTATAGCCGGCTACAAAGTTATTACCCTCTGCCTCCTGACACAAAAAAAAAACTTGGAACTGAGATATATATAGACAGCGATTAACAAAAGCGGGTGGGCCTTGGGTCCGCGGGTCCGCGTTCACGTCCGCGTTCACAGGCAATACCTACGTTGATGTACCAATTGCACTAAATTTTTTTATTTATAAGATTGACGGCTAAAGATTGTCATATTCTCCCTACTCCGAATATGATTTACTGCAGATCGAACGGCCCTTTTAAAAGGATTTATTTTCTTAAGATTACCTCTTAATGGTTGGGAAGATTATACATAACTATAATTTTATAATTTAATTTTCTTTTAATGGGAAGATGCAGATATTTTAGGCTTGTCTCAACAGGACAACCTACTCTCTCAAAAATATCATACGTCCCTTTTCAGAAATAGAGCTAAAACCAAGGAAGTATGTCACCTTCTGCGCTTAAAATACAACAAAGATCAATTCATGAAATATTTTTTGTGGCCCATAGTGGGTCCCATTATTAGATGCCAACATATGCCATTATTTATGCGCTCAATAGATAAGGATGAGGATCTATGTCGATCATTGTTGGGGCGGTCGGTTTGAATAAGAAACAGACAACAGTCAACTCTCATCATTCTTATCTAGCACTGGCTAGTTTAAACACACACATAATTGTATTGGATGTAACGGTCACCTATTAATTGGCACTTACAACTCCAACCACTCTATTTTTCTTATCTAATTCCTCCAACCATTTGAAGATCTTCTACCCAAAACTCCAAGAGAAAAGACTAAGCATCTCCTCAACTAATGGTACAAAGTGTTTCTTAATTATCTTATTTCTTATACGTTTATGTATTGATAATTTTATATCCTACATGCATGCTCACCATGATCCAAGCGTCTTCATTCAAATTATTTCAGTGATATATAACGGATGGGTATGGTAATGCAATGGAGCATGGCTTTGTACATAATTAAGTTCGTTTGCGTGGGGCTCAATGGGTGGATCTCTTTTACTTGGATGATGGCTGATGAGATTGCGCATGCTCTGAGGACATGGGACGTTCGATTTTTTCCGATTGATTTTTGATGTTCATGGCTCTTCTTCTTCTTCTTCCTTGTTCATAGCACTTTTGTTTCATGTCATGTTTTTCTGTGAACTTCAGTAAGTTATTTTTCAATCTGGAGGGATTAGTTTCTTTAATTTGTTTTAGCGTTTGTAGCAGATAGACCCATGTACTAATGCATAGTGTCTCCTAATATCTCCTAATGCATCTTCACCTTTCATTTTGTGCATAAGCACAAAATACGAGGAGGTACTATGCAATGAAAGGTGGAGATGCACTAGGAGATATTAGGAGGCACTATGCATTAGTAGAGGATCCCCGGCCCTTGTAGGATTTACGGAAGATAGCATGTATTGAGTGTTTAGGAAATATAAATAAGTAAATAATTTATATGAGGTGCCATTTTATTTTGCTAAATTAGCTGTAAAAAAATAGATACGTGAATAAAGGTCAATTTCTAAAAACAATTCTTAAAATTTTGGTGGACAAAGGATAGATTCCTAGAAATAGTTATAACATGCCTTACGATTAAACCAGGTCTAACAACCTTTTTGCAATTTCTGGTTGGTTTCAGTCATTTTAAGCTTACAAGTTACAAGTACGTATTGGCATATATTGTGTGTGATTTAGTACTGGATTAGATTTGAAACTTCCTATTTCAAGCTTACATTACCACTAAATTTTACAAGTTAATGGTCTTGTTTCCAATTTACCCAAAGTTGATTTTTGCTCTAATTCCCCATTAAACAATAAAACTTCACTGAACATGGAGAACAAACTACAAAACTACATACAGAAGGAACACAACCCAACTGAAACCAGAAATTAAGAAACTGATCATGAACAACTCCGCAAAATATCAAAATTAAGAAACAAAAAAAAAAGCATATAGAGAATAAGAAGAGAAATATTTAATCATCGATTAAACAAAGATATCATAACAAATCAAAGAATAAAA